GTAAACCACGTGGCTCCCGTGCGTGGCCACCCTCTGAACCTCCCTCTCATCTGTAGATCGCCATCGCTCTGTCATCTGTAGATCTCCCTTACTCTCTCTGTCATCTGTAGATCTCCATCACTCTCTCTCTGAACCACCTTGAAGCCTCCAGTACACCACGTGGCTCCCGTGTGTGGCCACCCTCTGAACCTCCCTCTCATCTGTAGATCTCCATCACTCTCTCTGTCATCTGTAGATCTCCATCACTCTCTCTCTGAACCACCTTGAAGCCTCCAGTACACCACGTGGCTCCCGTGCGTGGCCACCCTCTGAACCTCCCTCTGATCTGTAGATCTCCATCACTCTCTCTGTCATCTGTAGATCTCCATCACTATCTCTGTCATCTGTAGATCTCCATCACTCTCTCTCTCTCTCTCTGAACCACCTTGAAGCCTCCAGTACACCACGTGGCTCCCGTGCGTGGCCACCCTCTGAACCTCCCTCTCATCTGTAGATCTCCATCACTCTCTCTGTCATCTGTAGATCTCCATCACTCTCTCTGAACCACCTTGAAGCCTCCAGCAAACCACGTGGCTCCCCGTGCGTGACCACCATCGCTCTTGAGCGGCTTCCACAGCCAAGGCCAAAGCCCTTCTTGGCTCGCAGAGCTCTTTGGCCAAGCCCCTGGGCCTGTCCCCATGAACCGGAGCTGACGGCTTGAAAGCATTTAGCGTGGGGCCCTTGAAAGTTCGGCGCCCGTGGCATCAGCATGGTGTGCCGGATTGTGACGCCGTCGGGAATCCGATCACCTCCGAAGCACTTTCATATTCTTTGGGTCTTCTGGTGGAGTCTCGCACGCGAAGTTACGGATCGCGAGAGATGGCGCTGCGTGGGGCAGATCGGTCGGAGGGGGCCGAGCCGGTTTAAGAGTTGGGGGTGGTTTCTCGGATTTAGAGCGGAGGAATCTGACGTGTTCTAGATTTGAAGCTTTCGTGACTGCAAGGATCCACACTCTTTGGTTCTATTCGGTAAAGTCGCGTGGGTAAAGTCACGTAGAATGAGAATAAACTAATAAAATAAAACAATAAAATTCTCACGACGTTTCGGCCACAACACAAGCGGCCTTCATCAGGTGAAGGGACCAGGCTGTCTCGAGGACAGCGCTGGAGTGAAACACAGCCACGCTCAGACCGCGACCTGATGAAGGCCGCTTGTGTTGTGGCCGAAACGTGATTTTTGTGGTTTTACTTTTTACCCACGTGACTTTACCGAATAGAACCAAAGAGTATGGATCTGATGTAATCGATGAAGCTCTTTCGCCCGCACGCACGCACGCACGCGAAGGGTTCTGGAGGTAGGAGAGCGAGGGAGGGGAAATCGCGCTGCGTTAGCGTCCCAAGTCGGAGGGGCTGAGCCGGTTTAAAGTTCAGGGTGGTCCGTGGCTTGTCGTATTTAGAACGGAGGAAATCTTGAGAATCTGAGAAGCTCTCTCGCTCGCACGAGACACGTTCTGGAGAGAGAGATCAAGGATCGTAGCAGGGCCTATGCCGGTTCAAAGTTTGGGGATTGTCGGATTTACGCCGGAGGAATCTGAGAATCTACAAAGCTCTTTAACTCGCACACGAGAAACATTCTGGAGATATGAGAGCGAGAGATCAAGCGACAGAGCAGCTCACTCGGAGGGGCCTCGCCGGTTTAAAGTTCAGGGTGGTCCGTGGCTTGTCGTATTTAGAACGGAGGAAATCTGAGCTCTCTCGCTCGCACGAGACACGTTCTGGAGAGAGAGAGAGATATCAAGGATCTTAGCAGGGCCTATGCCGGTTTAAAGTTTGGGGATTGTCGGATTTACGGCGGCGGAAATCTGAGAATCTGAGAAGCTCTTTAACTCGCACACGAGAAACATTCTGGAGACGGGAGAGCGAGAGATCAAGCGACAGAGCAGCTCACTCGGAGGGGGCCGAGCCGCTTTAAAGTTTGGGGATGGTTTGTCGGATTTACGCCGGCGGAAATCTGAGAACCTGAGAAGCTCTTTAACTCGCACACGAGACGCGTTCTGGAGACGGGAGAGGGATCGAGCGAAGGTTCGCCGCTTCATCCCAGGACGCTTCTGTTTCGCGTCGTCGCTCTAAGATGCTTCCCTGTTCACGATCTTTGTTCGCCATCGGCACCCGAATCAAGAGCCGCACGGCCTGCCAGGGCTTGCTACCGACTGCGCGAAACTTGAAACTCGGAGGGGCCTCGGCCGCTTTAAAGTTTGGGGATGGGTTTGTCGGATTTCGACCGGAGGAAATCTGAGAATCCGAGAAGTTATTTTTAACTCGCTCGCGCGCACGCGCACGCGCGCAGCGAGGCGTCCACTGCGTTTCGCGGGAGGCCAATCTGGCCCGGGTTTGATTTGCTTTGTGGCAATGATTTGGATGCATGCTGTGGTAGACGTCAGTGTGCGTGGTGTCGCGTGCGTGGTGGTGTCTGCCGGTGGTTTCGAAGCGTCGGCAACGTTCAGCATACTTGAAAAATAACGCAAGGCAACTAGGCACACGGAGAGACAAAAGAGCACCCCCGTGTAGCCTGTGGACAGGCTGTCGGGGGCAAGTGCTGTTCGCAGCGAGCACCAGCGCCTACGAAGGCTACCGGCACTGTGGCGCGCACACACACACACTTGAGGGGGGTGGGTGTGACCAGCACCACCACCACCACGCCCGGCCGCCTTTGTCTCCCCCAGTGGCGATGTTCACCGCACACCGCTACACCAGGTAACTCATTCGAGGCCGAATCGACCTAGGGGAGGCCCGGGCCCCTGTTCGGATAATCGGCACCGCCCGGGCGTTGGCCGCGAGCGGGAATCGAGCCCCGTGTCGCTGGGTTCGTAGCGCTCACCGCTGCACCACCGCTCCTCAGCGCGCGCGCGCGCTTGGAAAACGTCGCCGCTGCGGTGGGTGGGGGGTGGAGAGACAAAGGCGGCCGGGACGTGCGTGGTTGGGGTGGCCGGCCACACCACCTTTACACCCCCCATAGGCACAGTGCCGGCCCTGTCACCGGTGCTGCTACTAAGAGCACTTGCCCCCTACTAAGAGCACTTGCTCCCTACTAAGAGCACTTGCCCCCTACTAAGAGCACTTGCCCCTACTAAGAGCACTTGCCCCTACTAAGAGCACTTGCTCCCTACTAAGAGCACTTGCTCCCTACTAAGAGCACTTGCCCCTACTAAGAGCACTTGCCCCTACTAAGAGCACTTGCCCCTACTAAGAGCACTTGCTCCCTACTAAGAGCACTTGCTCCCTACTAAGAGCACTTGCTCCCTACTAAGAGCACTTGCCCCTACTAAGAGCACTTGCTCCCTACTAAGAGCACTTGCTCCCTACTAAGAGCACTTGCCCCTACTAAGAGCACTTGCCCCTACTAAGAGCACTTGCTCCCTACTAAGAGCACTTGCTCCCTACTAAGAGCACTTGCTCCCTACTAAGAGCACTTGCCCCTACTAAGAGCACTTGCCCCTAGTAAGAGCACTTGCCCCTAGTAAGAGCACTTGCCCCTAGTAAGAGCACTTGCCCCTAGTAAGAGCACTTGCCCCTAGTAAGAGCACTTGCCCCTAGTAAGAGCACTTGCCCCTAGTAAGAGCACTTGCCCCTAGTAAGAGCACTTGCCCCTAGTAAGAGCACTTGCCCCTAGTAAGAGCACTTGCCCCTAGTAAGAGCACTTGCCCCTAGTAAGAGCAGTCTGCTAGATGCTACACGCGGTTGGTTCCTCTCTCTGTGTGTTGTTGTTTTTATGGTGTTTGTATTTTAAAGTCCTATACTGAATGATGTAACGTGTAAACAATAATTATAATATATATATACTACACACACACACGCGTGAACACGTGTCCCTGGCGTTTATTTCTCTGCGGTTTGGAGCGAGTGTGGCGTGTGTGTGTAGACGTGGAGTGAGTTGGTGAGTGAGCGGCACGGGTTGGAGCAGTGGTGGGTGAGTGAGTGGCACGGGCTCGAGATGAGATGGAGCTGGTGGGTGAGGAGTGGGTGAGTGGCACGGGTTGGAGCAGTGGTGAGTTAGTGAGTGGCACGGGCTCGAAGAGATGGAGCTGGTGGGTGAGTGGCACGGGCTGGAGCAGTGGTGGGTGAGTGGCACGGGCTCGAGAAGAGATGGAGCTGGTGGGTGAATGAATCATTGTCCCTGAATCACAATAGCTGAATCATTATCTCCTAATCATCCTCCATGAATCATCCTCTCTGATTCATCCTCTCCTAATCATCCTCTGAATCATCCTCCTCTGAATCATCCTCCTCTGAATCATCCTCCCTGAATCACAGTCCCTGAATCACCATCCCTGAATCATCCTCCCTGAATCATCCTCTCCTAATCATTCTCTGAATCATCCTCCCTGAATCATCCTCTCCCAATCATCCTGAATCATCCTCTCCCTGAATCATCCTCCTCTGAATCATCGTCCCTGAATCATCCTCCTCTGAATCATCCTCCCTGAATCACCGTCCCTGAATCATCCTCTGAATCATCCTCCCTGAATCATCCTCTCCCAATCATCCTGAATCATCCTCCTCTGAATCATCCTAATCATCCTCTGAATCATCCTCCCGGAATCATCCTCCCTGAATCATCCTCTCCCAATCATCCTGAATCATCCTCTCCCAATCATCCTGAATCATCCTCTCCCTGAATCATCCTCCTCTGAATCATCGTCCCTGAATCATCCTCCTCTAAATCATCCTCCCTGAATCACCGTCCCTGAATCATCCTCTCCCTGAATCATCCTCTGAATCATCGTCCCTGAATCATCCTCTCCCAATCATCCTGAATCATCCTCTCCCTGAATCATCCTCCTCTGAATCATCCTCCTCTGAATCATCCTAATCATCCTCTCCCAATCATCCTGAATCATCCTCTCCCTGAATCATCCTCCTCTGAATCATCCTCCTCTGAATCATTTTCTCCTAATCATCGTCCCTGAATCATCCTCCTCTGAATCATCCTCCCTGAATCACCGTCCCCGAATTGTTCCCCTCCTAACGAATCGTTCCCCTACGAGTCACCTCCAGCGCCTCCGCCAGCGCCTCCGCCAGCGCCTCCACCGCCTCCACCGCCTCCAGCGCCTCCAGCGCCTCCGCCAGCGCCTCCAGCGCCTCCGCCGCCAGTGCCTCCACCGCCTCCAGCGCCTCCACCGCCTCCACCGCCTCCACCGCCTCCAGCGCCTCCAGTGCCTCCAGCGCCTCCACCGCCTCCAGCGCCCGCGCCTCCAGCGCCTCCAGCGCCTCCACCAGCGCCTCGCACGGCCCGCACGGCGTCCATGAAGTCCCCTGCTCTCTGTGGGCTCAGCTCCGCGTGCCAGGCGCCGCCACGCTTGAGGTGCGAGCCCACGATCAGGCCGCTCGCTCCGCGGTAGTCGCCGACGTTCGCCAGCGTCACGCCCGAGCCCACCAGCACCGGCAGCGCCACCGCCGCCCGCACCTCTGGTGGTGGTGGTGGTGGCGGTGACGGGGTGGAGGTTGACGGACACCGGGGGGTGGGGAGGGAGGGAGGGAGGGATGAGTTCTCACACTAAGCCACTCATTCAGTCACCCACCCACTCGCCGTATGTGCGGTACGTGTGGTGTGGTACGTGTGGTACGTGCGGTGTGGTATGTGCGGTGTGGTGTGGTACGTGTGGTGTGGTACGTGTGGTGCGGTGTGGTACGTGTGGTGCGGTGTGGTACGTGTGGTGTGGTACGTGTGGTGCGGTGTGGTACGTGTGGTGTGGTACGTGTGGTGCGGTGTGGTACGTGTGGTGTGGTACGTGTGGTGTGGTGTGGTACGTGTGGTGCGGTGTGGTACGTGTGGTGTGGTACGTGTGGTGCGGTGTGGTAGTGTGGTACGTGTGGTGTGGTGTGGTACGTGTGGTGTGGTACGTGTGGTGTGGTATGTGCGGTACGTGTGGTGTGGTACGTGTGGTGTGGTACGTGTGGTGTGGTACGTGTGGTAGTGTGGTACGTGTGGTGTGGTACGTGTGGTGTGGTATGTGCGGTACGTGTGGTGTGGTACGTGTGGTGTGGTACGTGTGGTGTGGTACGTGTGGTAGTGTGGTACGTGTGGTGTGGTGCGGTGCGGTGTGGTGCGGTGCGGTGTGGCGCCGCGTACCGGCGAGTTGCGTGGCGCTGGTGGCACAGGCGGTGGCACGCCCGGTGAGCACCACGCCGTCAGCCAGGAAGAACTGGGCAGCCAGTGCCGTGTCCACCACCCCCACGTCGGCCGTGACGGCGTGGGCACTGGGGGGGGTGGTGAGGGTGGTGGTGAGGGTGGTGGTGGGGGTGGTGGTGAGGGTGAGGGTGGTGGTGGTGGTGAGGGTGGTGGTGGGGGTGGTGGTGAGGGTGGTGGTGAGGGTGGGACACACCCGTGCCATCCATTTTCCACTGCCACACTTGGCACAGCTGAGACCCAGGAGGTGTTCACTCCCTCGCCTGGCCTACAGGAGGTCGTCACCACCACCGTCACCCCCCCACCACCACCCCCCACCACCCCCCCCACCACCCCCCCACTACCCCCCCACCACCCCCCCCACCTGTGCTTCTTCTTGATGTCGGCAAGGAGGAGGATTCTGTCGGCCCCGAGGCGCCGTCGCTCGCGAAGCAGCGGCCCGGCGGCGGCCTGGCACAGCCCCTCGTCGGCCACGTGGGCAAACACGAAGCCCTCCACTCGCACAAAGTCCAGGCCTGGTGGGACACCACCACAACCATCACCACCACCACCACCACCACCGTCACCACCACCACCATCACCACGTGGGCAAACACGAAGCCCTCCACTCGCACAAAGTCCAGGCCTGGTGGGACACCACCACAACCATCACCACCACCATCACCACCACCGTCACCACGTGGGCAAACACGAAGCCCTCCACTCGCACAAAGTCCAGGCCTGGTGGGGCACCGTCACCACCACCATCACCACCGCCGTCACCACCACCGCCGTCACCACCACCGCCACCATCGTCACCACCACCGTCACCACCACCATCACCACCGTCACGGTGGCAATGGTGTTGGATCACCGTTCTTTCCCCTAATGATGGTGATAGGTGTGGTGCTGCAAGTTGGTAATTACAAGCCCATGGGTTGCACAGAAGACTAGCAGCCTCCTACCGTTGTTATTGAGCTGATCTGGCCCATGCCCTCCAATCACTCCAGACCAGGTGCCAACATCATGACCAACTCGGGCATTGAAGTCACCCAACAAGATGACTCTATCCCGAGGGGCCACTTTAGCCAGCACCTGTGGCAGGAGGTCACAGAAGGCATCTGACTCATCGGCTTTGCCTGCATCCCTCCACGGATGTTCATCTTCGGTGGGGGCATAAGTAACCACGACCACCACTCCTCGCCTCCAGTTGATGGGAAGGAGCCTCACCGCCACGCTCCCACGCCCCCTTCATTCTTTTGTTCAAAAGAAGACCCACACCCTGTTGCTTTGGCAGTCTCCTGCCCCGAGTAGAGGACTGTCCACCCCTCATGGTGGCAGGAGCCAGAGCCGGTCCACCGGACCTCCTGAATGCCACAGAGATCCAGGCGGTACCGATCATAGGAGGCATCTGACTCATCGGCCTTGCCTGCATCCCTCCACTGATGTTCGTCTTCGGTGAGGGCATAAGTCACCACCACCACCACCACCATTCGTCGCCTCCCGCCAGCATTGTCGCAGCCGTCACCACCACCGCCAAGCGGCACACTGCGCGTGTGTAACTCCGTGTGTGTGTGACGTGTGTGTGTGTCTCCACTTGTGTCTCCGTGTGTGTGTGTCTCCGTGTGTGTGACTCGGCGTGTGTGTGTGACGTGTGTGTGTGACGTGTGTGTGTGTGTGACTCCGTGTGTGTCTACGTGTGTGTGTGACTCCGTGTGTGTGTGACGTGTGTGTGTCTCCGTGTGTGTAACTCCGTGTGTGTGTGTCTCCGTGTGTGCATGACTCGGCGTATGTGTGTGTCTACGTGTGTGTGTGTGTGACGTGTGTGACGTGTGTGTGACGTGTGTGTGTGACGCGGCGTGTGTGTGACGCGGCGTACGCGGCGTGTGTGTGACTCCGTGTGTGTGTCTGTGTGTGTGTGTGTCTCTGTGTGTGACTCTGCGTGTGTGACTCCGTGTGTGTGTGACTCTGTGTGTGTGACTGTGTGTGTGTGACTGTGTGTGTGTGACTCTGCGTGTGTGACTCTGCGTGTGTGACTCTGTGTGTGTGTGTGACTCTGTGTGTGTGTGACTCTGTGTGTGTGACTGTGTGTGTGACTCTGTGTGTGTGTGTGACTCTGTGTGTGTGTGACTCTGTGTGTGTGTGACTCTGTGTGTGTGTGTCTCCGTGTGTGTGTGACTCTGCGTGTGTGACTGTGTGTGTGACTCTGTGTGTGTGTGTCTGCGTTCGGCAAAACAACCCCCTACCTCCTCGCGGTGCCGGACGGGCAACTCTGTCGTGGACAGCGCTGTGGGGGGAGATCCAATTTTGATTGGCTCCTCCCCTCATGGCATATGTGTCCACCACAGGGGCTAAACGGGGGCTCTGGACGGGTGCGAGGGGCTGGTAACCCCTTCACCTTCAATTAATTACCACGAAACCACGAATTAAACTGAAATATGTAACAACTAAGCTTGTGCCGGAGGCCCCGGGGGGCCAGGCGTCTATGACGTCTCCTGGCCAAACCCCAATTGGCGGAGCCAGGAGATTGAATACCTACCCTCGGGGCTACTCCAGAAACAACGAAAAGCCACTACGGGTGGCCACGTGGAATGTTCGAACGCTCACTGCAGAGGAGAGGCTGCCACTCCTCTGTCGGGAGCTGGACCGGTACCGCCTGGATCTATGCGGCATTCAGGAGGTCCGGTGGACCGGCTCTGGCTCCTGCCACCATGAGGGGTGGACAGTCCTCTACTCGGGGCAGCAGACTGCCAAACAACAGGGTGTGGGTCTTCTTTTGAACAAAAGAATGAAGGGGGCGTGGGAGCGTGGCGGTGAGGTGTGGGAAGCTGTAAGCCCCAGGCTACTTTGGGCTCGCCTTCCCATCAACCGGAAGCGAGGAATGGTGGTCGTGGTTACTTATGCCCCCACCGAAGATGAACATCCGTGGAGGGATGCAGGCAAAGCCGATGAGTCACATGCCTTCTATGACCTCCTGTCACAGGTGCTGGCTAAAGTGGCCCCTCGGGATAGAGTCATCATGTTGGGTGACTTCAATGCCCGAGTTGGTCATGATACTGGCACCTGGTCTGGAGTGATTGGAGGGCATGGGCCAGATCAGCTCAATAACAACGGTAGGAGGCTGCTAGATTTTTGTGCAGCCCATGGGCTTGTAATTACCAACACGCTGTTCCGGCATCGGCGCATCCACACAACATCATGGATGCATGCCGGGTCCAAGCAAGAACATCTGCTGGACTACATAGTGACGGACCAGCGAATGCGAGCCCATGTCCTTGACACCAGGACCTACCGTGGAGCTGATCTGCCCTCTGACCATCGACTAGTCATCTGTAAGATGCGCCTGCCATTCTTCCACTCCGGTGGTGGGTGTACACCCAGGACCCCATTCAAACCCACAGTGGCCTGGTCTCAGTTATCTGATGAAAGTTGCAAGCGAGAATTTCATCATCGCTTGCGGCTGGGATTGGCATCGTCCCCGACTCCTCCTGATGTCGAGGGTAAATGGGCGAGGTTTAGGACTGTGACTCATGCAGCTGCAATGGCTGCTTTGGGTACGCGGTCCAGACCTCCCCAGACACCCTGGCTGACAGAGGAGTTGTTCAGGATGGTTGAGAAAAAGCGACAGGCCCACTGTCATCGGCTACAGAATCCCACGTCAGAGAATGAGGAGGCTTACCGCAGCCTTCGCTCGGAGGTTCGGAGAGCCGTGAGGCGCTGCAAGGATGGGTGGTGGTCGCGGGTTGCTGAGGAGATGGAGTCTGCCTCAGTGGCCCGTGATCACAAATCTCTATTTAACTCCATCAAAAAAGTAACCTGCAGCGCCACACCTATTACCATCATTAGGGGAAAAAACGGTGATCCAATTTCCGACCCCCAGGAACAGGTTCGCAGATTTGCTGAGCATTTCTGTGAGGTCCTGGGGGAGGGAAAATTCCTCAGCCAGGAAAACATCGTGGCACAAAGTGAGGATGACCCTGCTGAGGCTGCGGTGCCTCAAATATTGGATGAAGTCACCCCCTGTGAGTGGCTGGCTGAGGTGCCATCTGCTGAGGAAGTATTGAAGGCGATCCGGAGTCTGAGACCAGGAAAGGCAGCGGGCAGAGATGATCTCCCAAGCGAAATGCTGAGGGAGGGTGGCGTTTGTGCACAGACTGCCCTATATGACATCATAACAACAGTCTGGACCACTGGACGGGTTCCGCAGGATTGGAAGGATGCCCTGGTGGTCCCCCTTTTTTAAGAAGGGGGACCGCACAGACTGTAACAACTACAGGGGCATCTCACTCCTCAGTGTGCCGGGAAAGGTCCTGGCAAGGATTATTCAGCATCGCCTTGCCAGGCACGCTGAGGAGAGGCTTGCGGAGCCCCAATGCGGTTTCAGGAAAGGGCGGTCCTGCACAGATGCCATATTTTCTGTCCGTCTGCTACAGCAGAGGTGTAGGGAATTCCAACAAGACCTACATCTCTGCTTTATTGACCTGGTCAAGGCCTATGATACCATCAGTAGGCCTGGGCTCTGGGTCGTTCTTCGTGCTTTTGGAGTACCTGACCCTCTGCTCACGATCATTAAGGACCTTCATGATGGTGAGCGGGCCCGGGTAAAACTACGTGGCCGGGAGTCAGAGCCATTCCCTGTACACCTTGGGGTGCGACAGGGATGTCCTCTGGCTCCCACATTATTTAACATCTATTTTGACCACGTAGTTCGTGAAGCCTTCAATAGCTGTACCGGGGGAATCTCCATATGGTACAGATATAATGGGAGGCTAATCGATGCCCGGGTGCGGTCAAGGGATGGCTCCCTATTGCTCAACCACGTTATGTATGCTGATGATTTGGTAATAGCTGCTCAGTCAGAGGAGGAGTTGGAGACGCTGCTGCTGAGACTGGAGCGTGCCACTAAGAGGTGGGGCCTTACCATCAGCCCCACCAAAACTAAGCACCTGCCTGGGTATTTTGTACCATCGGACACTCCACCCCCACAACTCCCAATTGGTGATGGGGCAGTTGTGGAGAGAATGGAGAATTTCCCATACCTGGGCAGTGTGCTCATGACTAGCTCCGGTTTAATAGCGGAGGTCTCATTCCGCATCAGTCAAGCGGCATTATCTTTTCATCGGTTGCGTAACGCTGTGTGGAAGCTACCTGGTCTGTCGCTCCGCACTAAGCTTCAGGTCTTCTCGGCCACGGTCATTCCCTCCCTTCTCTACGCTTGCGAAACGTGGACCCCCCTAATGGAACATCTTCGCCGGTTAGAAACATTTAGGCTGGCCTGCCTACGATCCATCCTGGGTTTAACCAGACTGGATTGTGTGAGGAGCTCACAAATCCTTGAAAGATCTGGGCAGGGTCCCATCGGTGAGCTCCTCCGGCAGGCAAGGCTGCGATGGCTGGGTCATGTAGCCCGCATGCCCAGCCACCGCATGCCGAAACAGCTTTTGTTTGGCCGGATTGAGGGGGCTAAGCGGGCGCGGCACGGGCTAGAAAAGAGATGGAGTGATGTGGTACGGGAGGACGTGGAGCTGAGTGGACTTGCCGATGACTGGTACCAGCAGTGTCAAGATCGGCCTCTGTGGAGGAGGCTCGTGAAGGATGCTACTGGGCAGTTGGAGGCAGTCGCCCTCCAACAACAACGGAGGGCGGTGGAGCGACGCTCACAACAACGAGCGGAGCGCCGGGTGGCTAAAGCACAGCAGGTTGGCACAGTAGGGGGCACAGGTGGTGCATCAGCCAGTCATCTCAGTCAGTCGACCCGTGGCACCTGGGTCTGCCCCGTGACCTCCTGCCAGCGGGCGTTCGACACTTCACGTGGCCTCAGGGTGCACATAGCCTGGCACAAGCGTCGTGGTGACGTCACCGCCACTTAGTCGCGAATGGCGGTTGTTGTTGTTGTTGTTGTGTGACTCTGTGTGTGTGTGTCTCTGTGTGTGACTCTGTGTGTGTGTGACTCTGCGTGTGTGTGACTCTGTGTGTGTGTTACTTTGTGTGTGTGTGTCTCTGTGTGTGTGTGACTGTGTGTGTGTGACTCTGTGTGTGACTCTGTGTGTGTGTGACTCTGTGTGTGACTCTGTGTGTGTGTGACTCTGTGTGTGACTCTCTGTGTGTGTGTGACTCTGTGTGTGTGTGTCTCTGTGTGTGACTCTGTGTGTGTGTGACTCTGCGTGTGTGTGACTCTGTGTGTGTGTTACTCTGCGTGTGTGTGACTCTGTGTGTGTGTTACTTTGTGTGTGTGTGTCTCTGTGTGTGTGTGACTGTGTGTGTGTGACTCTGTGTGTGACTCTGTGTGTGTGTGACTCTGTGTGTGACTCTGTGTGTGTGTGACTCTGTGTGTGACTCTCTGTGTGTGTGTGACTCTGTGTGTGTGTGACTCTGTGTGTGACTCTGTGTGTGTGTGTGACTCTGTGTGTGACTCGTGTGTGTGTGACTCTGTGTGTGACTCTGTGTGTGTGTGACTCTGTGTGTGACTCTGTGTGTGTGTGACTGTGTGTGTGACTCTCTGTGTGTGTGTGACTCTGCGTGTGTGTGACTCTGTGTGTGTGTTACTTTGTGTGTGTGTGACTGTGTGTGTGTGACTCTGTGTGTGACTCTGTGTGTGACTGTGTGTGTGTGTGTGACTCTGTGTGTGACTCTGTGTGTGACTGTGTGTGTGTGTGTGACTCTGTGTGTGTGTGACTCTGTGTGTGTGTGACTCTGTGTGTGTGTGACTCTGTGTGTGTGTTACTTTGTGTGTGTGTGTCTCTGTGTGTGTGTGACTGTGTGTGTGTGACTCTGTGTGTGACTCTGTGTGTGTGTGACTCTGTGTGTGACTCTGTGTGTGTGTGACTCTGTGTGTGACTCTCTGTGTGTGTGTGACTCTGTGTGTGTGTGTCTCTGTGTGTGACTCTGTGTGTGTGTGACTCTGCGTGTGTGTGACTCTGTGTGTGTGTTACTTTGTGTGTGTGTGTCTCTGTGTGTGTGTGACTGTGTGTGTGTGACTCTGTGTGTGACTCTGTGTGTGTGTGACTCTGTGTGTGACTCTGTGTGTGTGTGACTGTGTGTGTGACTCTCTGTGTGTGTGTGACTCTGCGTGTGTGTGACTCTGTGTGTGTGTTACTTTGTGTGTGTGTGACTGTGTGTGTGTGACTCTGTGTGTGACTCTGTGTGTGTGTGACTCTGTGTGTGACTCTGTGTGTGTGTGTGACTCTGTGTGTGACTCTGTGTGTGTCTCTGTGTGTGTGTCTCTGTGTGTGTGTGTGACTCTGTGTGTGTGTGACTGTGTGTGTGTGTCTCTGTGTGTGTGTGTGTGACTGTGTGTGTGTGACTCTGTGTGTGACTCTGTGTGTGTGTGACTCTGTGTGTGACTCTGTGTGTGACTCTGTGTGTGTGTGACTCTGTGTGTGTGTGACTCTGTGTGTGTGTGACTCTCTCTGTGTGTGTGACTCTGTGTGTGTGTGACTCTGTCTGTGTGTGTGACTCTCTGTGTGTGTGACGCACCGGCAGCCAGCGCCACGGCCAGCGCCTGGTGGTTGGCGCCAGCCAGGACCTGCACCCCGAGTGGGTGGTGGGGCAGTGCCCGGCGCAGCGAGCAGCACACCGCCGTCATAGCCGCAGTCACCTCGGGGCCCGGACACCCGGCCACGTACGGAACGTCGCCCATGTTCTCTACCAACACCGCGTCCTGGGGGGGTGGTGGTGGTGGTGACACGAAACCACCCACACACTCACCCACACACTCACCCACCCACCCATACACTCACCCACCCACCCACACACTCACCCACCCACCCACACACTCACCCACACACTCACCCACACACTCACTCACTCACCCACCCACCCACACACTCACCCACCCACCCATACACTCACCCACACACTCACCCACCCACTCATACACTCACCCATACACTCACTCACCCACCCACCCACACACTCACCCACCCACCCATACACTCACCCATACACTCACCCACCCACCCACCCACTCACCCACCCACCCATACACTCACCCATACACTCACCCACCCACACATCCAGCCACACACTCACCCACCCACACATCCAGCCACACACTCACCCACCCACACATCCAGCCACACACTCACCCACCCACACATCCAGCCACCCACCCACACACTCATACACTCACCCAACCACACACTCACCCACCCACCCACACACTCACTCACTCACCCACACACTCACCCACCCACCCACACACTCACCCACCCACCCACACACTCACCCACCCACCCACCCACACACTCACCCACCCACCCACACACTCACTCACTCACCCACCCACACACTCACCCATACACTCACCCACCCACACATCCAGCCACACACTCACCCACCCACACACTCACTCACTCACCCACCCACACATCCAGCCACACACTCACCCACCCACACATCCAGCCACACACTCACCCACCCACACATCTAGCCACACACTCACCCACCCACACATCCAGCCACCCACCCACACACTCATACACTCACCCAACCACACACTCACCCACCCACCCACACACTCACCCACCCATCCACACACTCACCCACCCATCCACACACTCACCCACCCATACACTCACCCACCCATACACTCACCCACCCACACACTCACCCACCCACACACACACTCACCCACCCATACACTCACCCACCCACCCACACACTCACCCACCCACCCATACACTCACCCATACACTCACCCACCCACCCACACACCCACCCACCCACACACTCACCCACCCATACACTCACCCACCCATACACTCACCCACCCACACACTCACCCACCCACCCACCCATACACTCACCCACACACTCACCCACCCACTCATACACTCACCCATACACTCACCCACCCACCCACACACTCACCCACCCACACATCCAGCCACCCACCCACACACTCATACACTCACCCAACCACACACTCACACTCACCCACCCATACACTCACCCATCCATACACTCACACACCCATACACTCACCCACCCATACACTCACCCACCCACACACTCACCCACCCATACACTCACCCACCCACACACTCACCCACACACTCACCCACCCACCCACACACTCACCCACCCACCCACACACTCACCCACCCACTCATCCACCCGCCCACACACTCACCCACCTACCCACACACTCACCCACCCGCCCACACACTCACCCACCCACCCGCACGCTCACCTACACACACTCACCTCCACACACTCACCTCCACACCTACACACTCACCTACATACACACACCACACTCACCACGCCGACTGCTTTGTATATCTCCGCCTCCCTCCGTGCTTCTGCGATGATGTCCGCCATGGGCAGCGTACTTCTCGGGGTGCCTGCAGAAGCAGGGTGAAGCAGGCAGGAAGCAGGGTGAAGCAGGGTGAAGCAGGGTGAAGCAAGCAGGAAGCAGGGTGAAGCGGGCAGGAAGCAGGGTGAAGCAGGCAGGAAGCAGGCAGGAAGCAGGGTGAAGCAGGCAGGAAGCAGGGTGAAGCAAGCAGGAAGCAGGGTGAAGCAAGCAGGAAGCAGGCAGGAAGCAGGGTGAAGCAGGCAGGAAGCAGGCAGGAAACATGGTGAAGCAGGCAGGAAGCAGGGTGAAGCAGGCAGGAAGCAGGGTGAAGCAGGCAGGAAGCAGGGTGAAGCAAGCAGGAAGCAGGGTGAAGCAGGCAGGAAGCAGTGTGAAGCAGGCAGGAAGCAGGCAGGAAGCAGGGTGAAGCAAGCAGGAAGCAGGGTGAAGCAGGAAGCAAGCAGGAAGCAGGAAGCAGGGTGAAGCAAGTAGGAAGCAGGGTGAAGCAGGCAGGAAGCAGGGTGAAGCAGGCAGGAAGCAGGTAGGAAGCAGGGTGAAGCAAGCAGGAAGCAGGGTGAAGCAGGCAGGAAGCAGGGTGAAGCAGGAAGCAGGGTGAAGCAGGCAGGAAGCAGGAAGAAGCAGGCAGGAAGCAGGGTGAAACAAGCAGGAAGCAGGCAGGAAGCAGGGTGAAGCAAGCAGGAAGCAGGGTGAAGCAGGCAGGAAGCAGGGTGAAGCAAGTAGGAAGCAGGGTGAAGCAAGCAGGAAGCAGGCAGGAAGCAGGGTGAAGCAGGCAGGAAGCAGGGTGAAGCAAGCAGGAAGCAGGGTGAAGCAAGTAGGAAGCAGGGTGAAGCAGGCAGGAAGCAGGGTGAAGCAGGCAGGAAGCAGGGTGAAGCAAGCAGGAAGCAGGGTGAAGCAAGTAGGAAGCAGGGTGAAGTAGGCAGGAAGCAGGCAGGAAGCAGGGTGAAGCAGGCAGGAAGCAGGCAGGAAGCAGGGTGAAGCAAGCAGGAAGCAGGGTGAAGCAAGCAGGAAGCAGGGTGAAGCAGGCAGGAAGCAGGGTGAAGCAAGCAGGAAGCAGGAAGAAGCAGGAAGCAGGAAGAAGCAGGCAGGAAGCAGGGTGAAACAAGCAGGAAGCAGGGTGAAGCAGGCAGGAAACAGGAAGAATCCGAGAATCCGTAAAGCTCTTTGCCACATATGGTTAAGTGTCGTGGAGGCCACGTGGTCTGAACGTTACACCCACGACGATCGGATGGTAACCATGGCGACCGTCGCCACGGCCACTCGGATTACCATGGTAACCGGCGTCCCACTGTATCAGGGGTGGGGGGTGGGGGCATTAATACACAGCCGTGCCAGCGGTAACGTGAGGCGTAACTATGGTAACGTGAGGGGTAACTATGGTCACGTGACGGGTAACTGGTAACGTGACGGGTAACTATGGTAACGTGAGGGGTAACTATGGTAACGTGAGGGGTAACTATGGTAACGTGACGGGTAACTGGTAACGTGACGGGTAACTATGGTAACGTGAGGGGTAACTATGGTAACGTGAGGGGTAACTATGGTAACGTGAGGGGTAACTATGGCAACGTGAGAGGTAACTATGGTAACGTGAGGGGTAACTATGGTAACGTGAGGGGTAACTATGGCAACGTGAGAGGTAACTATGGTAACGTGAGGGGTAACTATGGTAACGTGAGGGGTAACTGGTAACGTGACGGGTAACTATGGTAACGTGAGAGGTAACTATGGTAACGTGAGGGGTAACTATGGCAACGTGAGGGGTAACCACGGTAACGTGAGGGGTAACTATGGTAACGTGAGAGGTAACTATGGTAACGTGAGGGGTAACTTTGGTAACGTGAGGGGTAACTATGGTAACGTGAGGGGTAACTGGTAACGTGACGGGTAACTATGGTAACGTGAGAGGTAACTATGGTAACGTGAGGGGTAACTATGGCAACGTGAGGGGTAACCACGGTAACGTGAGGGGTAACTATGGTAACGTGAGAGGTAACTATGGTAACGTGAGGGGTAACTTTGGTAACGTGAGGGGTAACTATGGTAACGTGAGGGGTAACTATGGTAACGTGAGAGGTAACTATGGTAACGTGAGGGGTAACTATGGTAACGTGAGGGTAACTATGGTAACGTGAGGGGTAACTATGGTAACGTAAGGGGTAACTATGGTAACGTGAGGTACAATTGTAACTTAAGGGGGTAACCTCGCTAAACTTCCCAGGGTAACTACGGTAACGCGAAAGGGTCACCATGGTAACGCGAGGGCGTAAACGGTTACCATGGAAACGCCGGTCACCCGGGGGGGGGTAACCGGTTACCGTGGCGACCGCTCACCCTGGCGACCGTTGCCGGGGTGACGGTTAACGTGATGACGGTTGCCGGGGTGACGGTTACCGGGGTGACGGTTAACGGGGTGACGGTTACCGGGGTAACGGTTACCTGGCAACGCCTTCACGTGGATCATCGCGATGACGACGCCGTTGGAGCGGCCGAAGAGAGAGGCAAAGCGAGCAGCCGCCTCCATCTTGGTGGTGGTGAGGTGGTGGTGAGGAGGTGGTGAGGTGGTCAGGTGGTGGTGAGGTGAGGTGGTGGTGAGGAGGTGGTGAGGAGGTGGTGAGGTGGTGGTGAGGTGAGGTGGTGGTGAGGAGGTGGTGAGGAGGTGGTGAGGTGGTGGTCAGGTGGTGGTGAGATGGTGAGGAGGTGGTGAGGAGGTGGTGAGGTGGTGGTGAGGAGGTGGTGAGGAGGTGGTGAGGTGAGGAGGTGGTGAGGAGGTGGTGAGGTGGTGGTGAGGTGGTGGTGAGGTGAGGAGGTGGTGAGGTGGTGGTGAGGTGGTGGTGAGGAGGTGGTGAGGTGGTCAGGTGGTGGTGAGGTGAGGTGGTGGTGAGGAGGTGGTGAGGAGGTGGTGAGGTGGTGGTGAGGTGAGGTGGTGGTGAGGAGGTGGTGAGGAGGTGGTGAGGTGGTCAGGTGGTGGTGAGGTGGTGAGGTGGTGGTGAGGAGGTGGTGAGGTGGTGGTGAGGAGGTGGTGAGGAGGTGGTGAGGTGAGGAGGTGGTGAGGAGGTGGTGAGGTGGTGGTGAGGTGGTGGTGAGGTGAGGAGGTGGTGAGGTGGTGGTGAGGTGGTGGTGAGGAGGTGGTGAGGTGAGGAGGTGGTGAGGAGGTGGTGAGGAGGTGGTGAGGTGGTGAGGAGGTGGTGAGGAGGTGGTGAGGTGGTGAGGAGGTGGCGAGGTGAGGAGGTGGTGAGGAGGTGGTGAGGTGAGGAGGTGGTGAGGTGAGGAGGTGGTGAGGAGGTGAGGAGGTGGTGAGGAGGTGGTGAGGAGGTGGTGAGGTGATGGTGAGTAGTGATGGTGAGTAGTGATGGTGAGTAGTGATGGTGAGTAGTGATGGTGAGTAGTGATGGTGAGTAGTGATGGTGAGTAGTGATGGTGAGTAGTGATGGTGAGTTGCTCCCCTCACGTGGTGCCAGTCGCCTACGGCGAGCAATGAGGGACAGTGAGATCACGCCCACAACCACCATCACCACGCCCACAACTACGCCCACAACCACTACCACAACCACGTCCACAATCACAACCACGTCCACAACCATCACCACGCGCACAAGCACCATCGCCACGCCCACAACTGCCACCACGCCCACAACCACCACGCCCACAACCGGCACCACGCCCACAACCACCATCACCACGCCCACAACCACAACCGCGCCCGCAACCGCCATCGCCACGCCCACAATCACCACCACGCCCACAACCGCCATCGCCACGCCCACAATCACCACCACGCCCACAACCGCCACCACGCCCACAACCGCCACCACGCCCACAACCACCATCGCCACGCCCACAACCGCCACCACGCCCACCACACACACACAACCACCACGCCCACAACCAGTACCAGCACCCCCATCACCCCCAACACCACCACCACCACCACCCAAAAAACGTGATTCGTAAATAGGACGCAGGTTCAGTGGAGGAATGAGTGCATGAGGAGTGTAGACCTGGCGAGGTAGTCAACATCTCCTAGCCACCGTGATGATGATGAGAGAGAGACACAGACTCCACATAGACCTCCTGTAGACCAGGCGAGGTAGTCAACATCTCATAGCCACCGTGATGATGATGAGAGAGAGACACAGACTCCACATAGACCTCCTGTATACCTGGCGAGGTAGTCAACATCTCCTAGCCACAGTGATGATGAGAGAGACACAGACTCCACATAGACCTCCTGTAGACCAGGCGAGGTAGTCAACATCTCATAGCCACCGTGATGATGATGAGAGAGAGACGCAGACTCCATATAGACCTCCTGTAGACCAGGTGAGGTAGTCAACATCTCATAGCCACCGTGATGATGATGAGAGAGACACAGACTCCACATAGACCTCCTGTAGACCAGGCGAGGTAGTCAACATCTCCTAGCCACCGTGATGATGATGAGAGAGAGAGAGAGACGCAGACTCCACATAGACCTCCTGTGCACCTAGCGAGGTAGTCAACATCTCCTAGCCACCGTGATGATGAGAGAGAGACACAGACTCCACATAGACCTCCTGTATACCAGGCGAGGTAGTCAACACCTCATAGCCACCGTGATGATGATGAGAGAGAGACGCAGACTCCACATAGACCTCCTGTAGACCAGGCGAGGTAGTCAACATCTCATACACAGACTCCACTTAGACCTCCTGTAGACCAGGCGAGGTAGTCAACATCTCATAGCCCACCGTGATGATGATGATGATGATGGTGACTTGTCAGCTGTTATTCTTTGGTTCTTTCGGTAAAGTCACGCAGAAATCGAAAATAATACGCGACATAATATCACACGACGTTTCGATTGCAAAGCAAGCAATCATCATCAGGTACAAATGAAAGAGAAACACGCCCCTAGTGAACTTAGAAATATAATGCAGCACAGAAAGTCGTCTGACACGGCGGTCAACACCCTACCTGGGTGATTAACGTCCAAGAGAGAGACACAGAACCGGAGACAAAGATACAAAGATCCCCCGTGTAGCCTTAACAGACTGTAGGGGCAAGTGCTGTTAGCGAGCACCTATGAAGGCCGGCACGGCACACGCACACAGACACACACAAGCGGAAAGAGTTAACGCAGAGAGACACAGAGAGAGAGACACAGAGACACATGGGCACACAGAGTAACAACGTCTCCGTGTCGAGGCCTTAAATAGCTAGAGAGGAGGTACAGAGAGAGAGGAGGAGGGGGATGGTTAATTAGCATGTCAATGGGAGATCCTACAATGAGATAACTCCACCGAAGGGGAGACACACAGAGAGAGAGAGAGACGGAGGCAACACTAAATCAAACTAACTTAGTAAAAAATATTTTTAAAAATGTAATGTAATTACAGTTAAGTGTGAAATTTGTGAGAGAGACAAGGCACAGACATGGAGACGCAAAGACAGCCTTGTCTCTCTCCCAAATTTCACACTTAACTTCTAATTGAGCAATCTTTGGAGTGGCGTAATGGACCAGGCCACGTGTTGATTGTGTGTTTGTCCGACTGTGCGTGTCGCATTACATTACATTTTAAAAAATTGTTTTACTAAGTTAGTTTGATTTAGTGTTGCCTCCGTCTCTCTCTCTCTCTGTGTGTCTCCCCTTCGGTGGAGTTATCTCATTGTAGGATCTCCCATTGACATGCTAATTAACCATCCCCCTCCTCCTCGCTCTCTCTCTGTACCTCCTCTCTAGCTATTTAAGGCCTCGACACGGAGACGTTGTTACTCTGTGTGCCCATGCGTCTGTGTCTCTCTCTCTCTGTGTCTCTCTGCGTTAACTCTTTCCGCTTGTGTGTGTCTGTGTGCGTGTGCCGTGCCGGCCTTCATAGGTGCTCGCTAACAGCACTTGCCCCTACAGTCTGTTAAGGCTACACGGGGGATCTTTGTATCTTTGTCTCCGGTTCTGTGTCTCTCTCTTGCACGTTAATCAACCAGGTAGGGTGTTGACCGCCGTGTCAGACGACTTTCTGTGCTGCGTTGCATTATATTTCTAAGTTCACTAGGGGCGTGTTTCTCTTTCATTTGTACCTGATGATGATTGCTTGCTTTGCAATCGAAACGTCGTGTGATATGATGTCGCGTATTATTTTCTACTTCTGCGTGACTTTACCGAAAGAACCAAAGGATGACAGCTGCATTGTGAGACCTCTCCTTTGCCAGTAACAAGATATAGGAATAGGTTTTTACCCTTTTAGCTGGCACAAAAACTGACACCTTTAATTCAAGGCGTCGTGTTTGCAATAACCACAACACAAGCAGTCAAAATGCACTACACAAAAAAGACAACTCTGATAATAATATTGGCACTGTCCTTGAATTTGCATTTTGACTGCTTGTGTTGTGGTTATTGCAGACACGACGCCTTGAATAAAGGTGTCAGTTTTTGTGCCAGTTTAAAGGGTAAAACCTATTCCTGATAACAGCTGCAGTCACGATAGTACCGAATCAAGTGTGACTCTATTATGAGACCTCCTTTGCCAGAAACAAGATATAGGAATAGGTTTTACCCTTTTAACTGGCACAAAAAACTGACACCTTTTTTCAAGGCATCGTGTTTGCAATGACCACAACACAAGCAGTCAAAGGAGGTCTCATAATGTTAATGCTCACCCCGAGCCCTCAATACTCTGATGGTGCGCTGTTTTTGAGTTGTACGCCTTTTGGCGTCTTCTGGTCCAACACCAATGGAGACTAGGCTCTAAGAAAAGCCGTCTCGGGTGTGGACCAATCAAATTCAAGGACAGTGCCAATATTATTATCAGAGTTGTCTTTTTTGTTTGCATTTTGACTACTTGTGTTGTGGTCATTGCAAACATGATGCCTTGAATGAAGGTGTCAGTATTTTTGTGCCAGTTAAAAGGGTAAAACCTATTCCTATAACAAGTGTGACTCAACTGCCCTGCGTGGCATCGCGGTCTCCCGCCACCAGGGGGCAGCAGAGGGCAGCTTGCGTTGCAGTCGAAACGTCGTGAGAATTTGATTGTTTTATATTTATATATATTTTTAAAAAATATATTTTATCGTTTCCCTTCTACTGACAATGTGCGAAGTCGATATCGACCGCAAGTTTTCGTGAGTTTTGCAGGAATTCCCGTTGTTTTGGGGCGTTTCGGTAAAGTCACGTGGATTGTTCTTCTTTGGTTCTTTCGGTAAAGTCACGTAGAATGTTTGATTTGTACTAAGGGCCTCGGTGAATGTGTATGCTCTGACTTTAACGTAGCTATTTCTGCAGCAGGTACAAGCTAACCACTCAGCTATCTCAATGCTAAATTCTATGCTAATTCCATTGTCAAGATGTGTATGCCTTAACTTAGCTATTTCAATGCTAAATTCTATGCTAATTCCTTTAACAATGGGTGCCTCTGCGGGTGTGTATGCTTTAACTTTTAACATAGCTATTTCTGTGACCAGTCACAAGCTAATCATTCAGCCATTTCAATGCTAAATTCTATGCTAATTCCTTTGTCAAGGCGCTTTGTTCCTCTCACACAGCTTAAAGGCCGTGATCTGAACGTGGCTCTTTCACTCCAGCGCTGTCCTACCAGACAGTCTCGCCCCCTTCACCTGATGA